GAATCCAGGAGGCAGAGATCACAGTGAGCCCAGATTTCACCATTGCACTCCAGCCCAGGGACAGGGCAAGACTCCGTCTCAAAAATAAAGAAAGAAAGAAAAATAAAAATAAAGATGCAGGATATCTTTAGCTTTTTTTCCTTCTTACCGGATACTTTGACAGTTGCTACTAATTGACTGGGTTGAAGATATCCATTCTTGAGGTAATTTATAGCCATGTTTCTAGGGTCACCTTTATCTAAGGGTCAAGGATTAAACTGGGATCTTGAGAAGGAAAGTGAGTATTGACATATAGGCACACATTACAAAGGAAGCAAAAGAGCCTATTATCATTTAATTAAATAGAAATAAAACAGATAAGATTTTAAAGTGATGATATTTTGAAATCTACCGACTACAAACAGGGATTGCAAGACTTTTAAAACAGTGTCTGTCTACTGAGTGGAGAGAAAGCTAAATATTTAAGAAGAGAAAAACTGCCACACTAAGTCAGACTATCTTATATCTAGAAATTTTTTTTCCTCTTTCGACAAATAACTTTTTGTAAGAAAGTAGTTACTTCCTACATTTAACTCTGAAAGGTAGGGATGTGCCCCAAACACATAATTTACTCTAATCAAACATGGATGATGTTAAGTTCTTCCGAATCACTGCTTGCATGACTTTAGTATGTCCAACTGAATGATATCATCAGTGCAGACAGCCAGAGAAAAGCCATTAAGAACAAATACTATTGGCCAGGTGCGGTGGCTCATGCCTGTAACCCCAGCACTTTGGGAGGCCGAGGAGGGCAGATCATGAGGTCAAGAGATCGAGACCATCCTGGCCAACGTGGTGATCCAAGGTCAAGAGATCGAGACCATCCTGGCCAACACAGTGACAAAGTGGCCTGGTGACAAAGTGAGACTTTGTCTCAAAAAAAAGAACAAATGCTATTTAGGAGTCTATATTCACTGAAGCATCTGAATTCTTTTTTTTTCTCTCCTTTTTTGAGATGGAGTCTTGTTCTGTTGCCAGACTGGAGTGCAGTGGTGTGATCTTGGCTCACCACAACCTGCGCTTCCCGGGCTCAAGTGATTCTCCTGCCTCAGCCTCCTGAATAGCTGGGATTATAGGCGTGCGACACCACACCCAACTAATTTTTGTATTTTTAGTAGAGACGTGTTTTCACCATGTTGGTCATGGCTGTTCTTGAACTCCTGGCCTCGTGATCCACCTGCTTCAGCCTCTCAAAGTGTTGGGATTACTGGTGTGAGACACCATGCCCAGCCAGCATCTGAATTCTCTCTTTTTTTTTTTTTTTTTTTTGAGACAGAGTCTCCCTCTGTCACCAGGCTGCAGTGCAGTGGCATGATCTCGGCTCACTGCAACCTCTGCCTCCAGGGTTCAAGCAATTCTCCTGCCTCAGCCTCCTGAGTAGCTGGGATTATAGGTGCCTGCCACCATGCCTGGCTAATTTTTTGTATTTTTAGTAGAGGTGGGGTTTCATAGTGTTAGCCAGGATGCTGTCGATATCCTGACTTCATGATCCACCTATCTTAGCCTCCCAAAGTGCTGGGATTACAGGTGTGAGCCACCATGCCCGGCCACCCAGCATCTGAATTCTTAAAAGGAATCCTTGCCTAATCTCTGGAAACACAGAATAGTCCTCATCCACCACCTGCAGAGTTAGCCTGCCTGGGACCAAAGCCTGGCTCTACCACCATACTACTGTGTGACTGTTTTTGTCAGAGTTCTCCAGATAAACAGAACCAATAGGATTTAGAGAGAGCAAGAAAGCAAAAGAGATTTATGTTAAGGTATTGTCTTACATGAGTGTGGAGGCTTGATGAGTCTAAAATCTGATGGAGGAGGCTGCAGGCTGGCAACTCGGGAGAGAACAGCAGTTGGAGTTTACAGGCAGTTTGCTGGCAGAGTTCCCTCTTACTCTGGGGACGGCAGTCTTTTGTGCTATTCAGGTTTCCTTCTAATTGACTGGCCGAGGCTTACCCACATTATGGGAGCAATCTGTTTTACTCAAAGTCCACCGATTTCAATATAAATCTCATCCCCAAAACACCCTCATGGAAACATCCAGAATGTTTGACAAAATATCTGGCCATTATATCCCAGCCAAGCTGGCATATAAGATAAACCATCACAATGACCTTGGGCAGGCTACTTAAACTTCTTGTTCTTTACTATGCTCGTCTATAAAGGGAGATTATTTAAAGTATGGGCACATACTTCATCGGGTGATTGTGAGGATTAAATAGGTTCGTTTCTAAGTGGAGTGCTTAGAACAGTGCCTGGCTCATAGTAGGCAGTTTATTGCAGAACATTGCAACAGAAGGGAACTTTCAAGATATCAAGTACACTCTGAGATTCAGAGTGGTGAAACAACTTGCCCAAAGTTGCAAACTTAGTTATTACTAGGGAACACCAGTCCAACCTATTGCAGAAGGTTTTACTGCTACTTCCCTTCCCTTGTAGACTCAACAACAGTGTATCAGATGAAATGTATTATCACTGAAATTTAGAACCCCTTCATTTTTTGAGATGTTATTAAAATAAGTAATTGGTAATCACTATTGCAGAAATGTATGTTTGATTATTTATATCTACACATTATTGAAAAAATACCTCTCTTGTCCACTGAATGATTTATTGAAACTGGGATTCCTTTATTCTTCTGCTGTTCCACATTAGACATTACATTCCCTTGGGACAGACTGAACTAACACTAACACCTGGTGTTTCCACAGAATCTACCCTCTAAGGTTCAGTGAGAGTCAAGGTAAAACTAATTGAAAATACTTGCCTAGTTTGACTTGTTTGGGTTTTTTTTTAACTTTCTCTAAGGCTTAGATTTGCATTCCATTCCCAGCCTGCTGAGAAGAGCTCTCTCTGCAAAGCCTTTTCTTCCTTTCTATGCAAAATGTTACTCAATCTGAGTTTCTAGATCAATGTTTCTCAGAGTGAGTTCTTCCAAGATTATTCGGATTATAATTACCTGCAGAGTTTGACAAAAATGTAAATTGGTCAGCACTACAGAATCACTGAATTTTAATTTCTGGAGGAGAGATTTGCGATAAGATACTTTTATTAAGGTCGTCATGTTGATCCTTATGCCATAGGAGCTTGAGAATCACTGCCCTCAATTAGCTTGATCTTGCTAATAAACACTCCTTCATGGAATTTCAAAGCTGTAATAATGTCCATTAAAGTGTGTAGGTGTAGGTGGATCAATCTCCACTTACTTACTTATGTTGCATTACACGTTCCCTCTAGCTGAAAACAGTTTAGTTCTTCTGCATTAATGAAGTGTAGCTGTGCTTACACAGTATTTCCTGATACGAACTGCAAGGCTGGTGATTATTGTTAGCTGTGCCTTATAGAAGCTCCAGGATAGGTATTGTGTGTTTTAATGCTGACTGTTAACATTCCCAGTTGATTACATTAAGTGCCAAATTTTTAATCACTGAGTGTGAAAGTTTCCATTTTCAAAGCACATTAAATCCCAATGATATTCTCAACTGAAGTCATTCACATCCTTAAACAGTTTGGTAAGTATATTTGAAGGGCCAGTTGGTAACAGGTGGAAAGATACATGTGTAGATATTGGTACTGATGATAAAAACTTACATTGAGGAAAGAAATCCTTGCAACCTCAGGTGAAAATACCCACTGGAATTAATCCTTTACTCCTGCCTGATCAATTATCATTGACAATCCTAAGATCAAGAACAATTCAACATTTTAACATTTAAATGTTCAACAATTTAACATTCAGTGAATGTTCACTACACTGAGGTGGACCAGTATGCATTATATTATTTAATTCTCCAACAACGCATTCAATTAGATAATTTTATTTATCTCCACCTTTCAAAGAGTAACTGGGGCTTGGAAAGGTCACGGCTCTTGCCCATATTCACACAGCCTGTCAGGGAAAGAGTGAGGATTTGAACACGGGTTGATCTGACCTCAAAGCCCTTGTTTTAACCTTGTCTTTCAGTAGACCAGCTTCCTGCTTCTCTTCTGTTCTGACATTCATAAAATGAGACAGTAGACAAAAAGAAAATGGGATTTGGCCTTTGAGAACTGTGTCAGGGCATTTTGAGCATGCTGCCACTCCAAAATTAGAACCATGCCATTTTAGTTTCAGTGCAGAGGAATATGGCGTTGCCTAGGGCCCAGCTGAGCTGAGCCGAGCTTTGGAATAGCTCATTTACTAGTTAAATATGGACTCTGTGCCAGTTATTTATTTCTGTGGACTCCATTGGCCATATGTAATTCCAAGGGACTAGAATCACATGCCTTCAGGCTTCCGTGATTTTACAAACATTGTGATTTTTGTATATTTTCACAGAACTTGAGAACCAGCAGGGATGATTTGGTCAGGAATCATTTGGCTGTAAGAAAAAGAGATCCACCCAAGTTTCCTTAGGTAGAGAAGTTTATGGGAAGGAAACTGGCTTATCTCACAGAAGCAAACTTAAGGGATACAGCCGGGAAAGAAAATCAGGAAAGAAAAGTCATCATTTGTCTTCTGTTTTTCTTTTTTCTGTATGGCTATATTCATTTCTGTGTGCTGTGACTTTGTTTCTCTCCAACTCTGGAGACTGGCTTTCTTTCCTCGTGTTCTCACGGCCAGTCAGAGCTGCCCGACTGGCAGAACTCAACACTGGCTCACTTCAGTCTCTGGGTATGAATTCCAAATTTTAAGACAAGAACATCTAACTGGTTGAGTGTGGGTTCCATGTCTAACATTAATTATTCAAGCCAAAGAGATGCGGTGGGATTGTTTGGTATTTGGTGCTATTCTTTCAAGAAATTATTTTAGTAATTTATGCAGAGATTATACAACTTTTGTGAGAAATTGAAGATGACCCTCTAATGTATAGGATAGACGTGGTTTGCACTAGGAAAACCAACAGCGTTTTTTACTCTCTGTTATTCTAATTCTGTATCTTTTGATCCTATTTTATTCTCGTTCTTTCTTGGTGCCTTCATCTTACCTTTCATCCTGGTGTTTTCTGATCTCCCGGTTCCTTTCCTTCCCTTACTCATGAAATTTCTCGTTTCTTTGAGGTGCTGCTTTAGGTCTTTGAGGTAGTAGCAAAAAAAATCTGATGAAGTAATTTCTACCTAGAGTTAAAATAAATACATGTTCATTTTTCACAGAGTGATTATTAGGTGCCAAATCTAGCACTAAGCCATTCATATATATTATTTTCTTTATTCCTCACTATAAACACAAAATAAACATTAACTTGTTTTTCCATCTGAGAAACTCAAGGTTCTGTGTAGTTAAGTAATTTGTATAAGCTCACACAGCTAGTAAATGAAACTGCTGGGATTTAAAATCAGCCTCTAGAGCCTGAAACACTATATGCTATGGCTGCTATTGTCATGACATATCATCCAAGCATGTGAAGCCCTGGGTTTATCCTGACTCACATGCGTCAAATGTTACATTTGCGGAATTTTGAGAGCTGATTATTAAACACAACCATTGTGAAAATTTAAATTATAAAAACTTACAATGAAATTACATTTATTTTTAAAAGTTATACTCAAAACACATCAATAATTATGTTACTGTATTTGACCATTATATATGCATTTGAGTTTATTTCTATCATAACTGTATGGTAGAAACACTGCACCTCTCCCAAACTCTGAGAGTATTTACACCATAGAAACTGACAACTGCCCATCTAAATGAAATTAAATTTTTTAAAAAGTGAGTAAGTAGACAGCCATACAGGCACAAAAAGCCCACTTAAAGATTGAATAGGACTGTGAGCCACCAGTTTTTGACCTCTGTTTTAAAGAAATGTACCTACAATGAATGAATCTCAAGCGCTTATGCCAGATCACTTTTTAAGTGTGGGCATCTGACACAACTTACACATCTGGTCAATCATGACTGCCTGAGGAAACACCAATAGCTCATTGCCCAGACAAAAAAAGGAGTTAAATGAGTGCTAGCCAAGGGTTGCCTGTGCCTAAGTTGAGGACTTTTTGAGGTCTGGCTGAGGTTTCCTGTCCTGCACAGCCAGGTATTTGCATTGGCAGATGTGCCGTCACCACAGTCCCTGCAAAGAGCTGGCTGGACTTCTTGACTAAAGCAGTAGTGAGCAAGAAAGAGCTGACCCAGAGATTACATTTTTGCTTACCCGCAGCAGTATACTTCTTATGTGGACTGCCTTTGCATCTGTTTTAGACCTTATTCATTAGTTCTTTCTAGGTCAGTGAGAAGCCGAAGAGAAGAGGGTCTTGCAGCTGGAGGAGATAAATATGTGATGGGGTGTGTGGGTGGTCATTTAATGTTGCTTTCTGGGCTGAAATGAGTCTGGTTTCTTATGTTGTCTGTGGAAGTAGCAATTATCCTTCTCTCTTTGACTGAAGCAGTTATTTTTGGTAGAAGCTATTAAGTCTTTTGAGTAAGAACATTTTGGGTGCCCTGTGGTTGGTTGGCTATGTATAGATCACTTGATCTGTGACCTTGGACAAACCTCCCAGCGTTTCCATTTCTCTGTTAAGTTGAAAACGATAGAGGGATCTGTCAATAACTAGACAATAAAAAAGGGTTTTAAAGAATTTTTTAACTTCTAGAATATTATTTCAATTAAATTATGATTTAATATTATTTAAATTTTTTATCTCCTAGAATGTTATTTTCATTCACATTTTAGCAGAGAAAAAAAATCTTATTTATTTACTTAAACAATTACCCCAGTGACCACTAATTCATTTTGTGCTTTGGACACCACATCATATCCATAATGTAGTCAACATTTGAATGCAGGAACCATATTCTTAGTTTCCTAAATGTTTCTATGGTCTGGTTGTCTCAGTCCAAATTATGGTATGCTGTTTCAAGTTGTGAACCTTTGGAATGTTTCTCTTCTGTGCAGCTCTAAAAAGCCTCTTCACTTCACCTTGCTATTTGAGTTTAAGGAGCAAAGAAAATGTACTGAATGCTTTATATACATATGTATATATTCTGTAAAATATCGCTATGCTTTGCTATGAGGAAGGACCTAAAGGAACTGTAAACAATGTCCCTGGAGTCAACTATAACAGTTTACTTGGGAAAGATAATCATCACCCAAAAAGCAGTGTATAATCAAAGTTGAGTAACGAGATAGACTATAAATATAAATGAGAAGACTTTCTCTTCACCATCCACTTAACCAGTACTCTGGAAGAAATTCAGATCTTCATTCACCCCGTCAAATATGCTGACCTTTGTCATAGCATGCCATCTGCTCAGATCTACCCTGCACCCCTCTGCTAGGGCCACATGAGCAGTGTGCAGCCCAAGTGTTTGTTCCAAACTGTCAGTGGCACTTGTTATTAAAATCATGTAACATAAATCAATAAAATATGGCACATAAATGGAGGTATGGGGTTTTTTGTATGAAAGCTAAATTGATTGCATTATGAAGAGTTTTAAATGTGAATGACAAAAAACAATTGCTAATGAATTAAATATTGCAAGAAAACTTTTTAAAAATTAGGGACAGAAATCAGAAAAATTTTAAAAATTAGGGACAGAAATCAGAATAAGAAGTCTTTGTACTCACAATATTTGGAAGCTGCTTGCTCTATTTTAAATAAACCGAGACTGGGAATCATGGAGGATGCATTATAGATGAATTGTATGCAAGAAAGATGCTGTAGGATTCCTATTAGCAGACTCTTGATCATAGGAAAAAATGCCCCTATGTCAAAAGCTTAAGAAATAATATACAGTTTAAAAAATTTTAAATTGGAGTATTTATAAAGCATATGTATCATTGTTAAGGTTCCTTCTTTAATTTTTTGGGGGGGCGGCTGTTGTAGTCGATTGGCAAATCAACTATTGATCTTGCTTTCATCAAATTTTGAGAATTTGGAAAATGATGAAATTGGTTTTGTTTAATAGTTGGGAATTTGTGAAACGATTGGTGTGATTTTCTCACCACAGAAGAATAAAGTGGGCAACGTTCTTTTATGTATTTATGTATTTATTTATTTTGATATGGAGTCTTACTCTTATCGCCCAGGCTGGAGTGCACTGGTACAATCTCAGCTCACCTCCTGGGTTAAAGCGATTCTCCTGCCTCTGTCTCCCAAGTAGCTTGGATTATAGGCACCTGACATCATGCCTGGCAAATTTTTGTATTTTTAGTAGAGATGGGGTTTCACTATGTTGGCCAGGCTGGTCTCTAATTCCTGACCTCGGGTGGCCCACCCGCCTTGGCCTCCCAAAGTGCTGGGATTATGGACATGAGCCACCACGCCTGGCCCAAAGCAACATTCTTAGAGAGTAAACACACAAACAGCAAGAGAATACAAACTTCAGAGCAGGAGAGGTAAAAATCTATGCAAAAGAGTAAAGAAATGGGAAGAAAAGACCCAGAAGAAGTTTTTGGGAAGATCTAGTAAAAGCTAAGGGACCTGATTGTAAGTAGTAGGCAGTATTGAGCCATTGACTGATTTTGATTAGGACAGTGATAGGAAAGCAATATTTTGAGGTAATTATTCTGATAACAATGTGCAGAATGACATGGATCCTCAATGACAAATATGTTTTTGAGAATTGTAAAACTCAGATTATTGGTAACGCTGATCCGGAGCATTGTTCTGAGAAGTATGAGGCTGAGGCTATCCTCTATAAAAGGTGCTGTTTTCTACTAGTGATGCCTAACATGAGCAAGGGATAAATGGTTGCAGCATCTATGCCTGATATTTGTAGGCCTTTGATCAGATTAAGACTAAAGATAGTAGAAGCAATTATGCCACCACAATAGCACGAGAGATTATAGAAGAAGGTATAAAATATTTTTTTCAAATACATACTAATTTTGTTCCATGGATAAAGTTATATCATAAGTAGGTTTAATTTCCATTTCAGATTCAAGCAAGATTATGCTTTTCCTTATTATTGACATAAGGGACTCATTAGACTATAATCTTAAAGAGCAGCACAGTATTTCAAGTAAGACAAAATTTTGTTCAAAATCCAGACCTGCCATTGGCTAGTCAAATAATTTGAGACAAATTTCTTAAACTCTTTAAAAAATGTATTAAGTTTCTATAAAATAAGAACTAAGTTACCTAGCTCAAATGGATTCAAAATATTAAGTGTATTGGGAAGTATTAAAGGTAGTTGGCATGCTGCCTATCACAAGGATGGTCAATGAAATTCTGCTTAAAAAATGTTTTACTAATTTTTTTCTTATTAAGTACTGTTTTAAAAATAAAAATCCGTGAGATTATTATTCTAATAATTGGAATTGTTTAGCTTCTGAGCCCCCAAATGAAATTGAACTAGATAGAAAAATAAGTTAAAATACATTTTTCCAGGTTTTCAAAAAAGAGACCCCAACATTTCTTTGTCCACAAGAAACTAGATATTATGAAATTCCTCCTTTGTCTGAGCCACTGTTTGCCTGCTATTTAAAGGCTCTATAAATGAGGGATCATCATGGCTTTGAAGCCATGGTCTGAACTGCAAGATGTTGGTATGCCCATATACAGACATTTCAATATAATTTTTTCTCCTACTTCTGTCCCGTGGGCAGTGATTTCTTGGCAATTCATATGCAAACACTGGGCATCCATTTACAGGATTTCTTGATTTGTTTAGGAGAAGTCGTGATGTTCATTTGCAATAGGGTTTTGGCAGACTCTTGACAGAGAATTTCTTTATAAAAAAGGACAGCGCACTTCATTTGGCATGACTCTTTAATGCGTAGGTTTGTATTTCCTGTCTTTAGTTTCCTTAAAAATCTGTAGAAACACACACATAGCCATTCATTAAGCACTTTGAAGTAGCAGTTTGTGATATTTCCAAACAAAACATTACTTTACCAACATGGTTGAGTGTCTCAAACATCTCTTTTCTACGGAATTCTCAATTGACATTTGAGACAAAGAAGGAAGCCAAAAATGTAGGTTCTGACTAGTTGTATGGTGTGTTTCTTGTGGTAAAGAAAGAGTCAAACCAATTCTAATCCAAGAGAAATATCATGAGTCATTGTATTATTCAGGGTGTGAATATCATAGAACTGATTTCTTTTCAAAGCCTACTTCTTCCCCACAAACTTTTCTTTTGAAGCAAATGGTAAGCTTTAGTTTGTAATGTAAAAATGATAAAGTTGTGATATATTAAACACATTTATTCCAATGACTTGAATTATTATAATCATTACCTCTATCACTATTAATCATTCAAACGCAGCTAATTCTAAGTCCTCAGGGGCTCAAAAACAACATCAAAAAGTCTGACTGAAAAGTATGGAATTAACATCATAGAACTGGCTTTAAAAAGGCAGTTTTTAAACTGTTTTTTACATATTGAAGAACTTTCTTTCCCTGCAATGCAAGTTCAAGGAAACTCCCAAGAGTGGATGTTCCATCCTACATGCTCTGCCCTCAGCTTTTCAAAGTGCACAGAAATTCCACCCAGCAAAGATGTCCTGTCAAAATGATTTAAAAGAAGAAAAAGAAAGTTGCTTGAGGGGAATTGGTACTCCAGATCAAAAAACAATTTTAAGTGGCCTCTTTTGGTGGTCTGTGTTGAGACATACAACAGCCCAGGCTGCTGTTTTTCCAGGAGGTTAAATTTCAAAAAGAGGAAACAACAGTAAACAAGCTGCCAATTTACTCACCAACGTTACAACTGGCTGGAGCTCTGTTCAAAGTAAAACCGCTGATTTACAAATTCCTGGATTTACTCTTAAATATTAACACTTCTTAGGAAACTTTAGAACTTACATGTCACATTTATGACTCCTCAGCAAGCACAAGCCCTCTCCAAACACATGGTCTTCATGACAACTCTTTGTGCCATGTAATTTAGCCCCACTAAGGGAAGCCACTGTCAACTCAACCTGTAATGCCAAAAAGCAGCCCAGGTACCAAGGGACGCAAACTGAAGTTAACATTAGATGTGTTTCTGTATGGTGTATGTGGAGGAGGATGTTTACAGCACAATTCCAAAATAATAAACCATAGCAGACAGAAGTTTCCCTTCTATCAGACACAAAGAACTAGCTGTGGAAGGCAAGCTGGCTGGACCGCAGTTCAGTTTTTCTCCTCTCCTTTCTGCAAGTGGAAAATCTGCTGGCTGGCAGTGGAAACAATAGGGAAACCACCTCAGAATATTGGAGAAGAGGGTCGGGGAGGAGTTGTAGCTCAGGAATCCTTCAAAGATAATGTGTGGGGGGACGAAGACAGCACACAGACACAGGGAGAAGTAAGTATTAAATAGTCAGTAGCTCTAAAAATTGAGAGAGGTGGAACAGCATTTAAACATTCTATATCTCAAGCAGTGCTTCCCTCCAGAAAGCAGAAATTTCTCCAGGTTGTTCAGCTGTAAAAAAGGTCCAGGATCCAGTCAGATAATAAATTTAAAGTAGGTCTGGGGAAGGTTGCAAGACTGCATATATAAAAATATTAAATGTATTTTTTTAAGAAGAGAAACAATGTATGCTCCTTGAGTCCTTTAACTAGAAAAGGACTTAAGTTGTCATTCAAAAAAATGCCTTTGCAAACAACTAGAAAAACATAAGACACTCCACTAAAAGTTACACGACTATTAATTGTACTGTATGCATTCATGTTTATCTATTTATGTGTTTATTTCATCTATATCATCTATTATCTATCTATCTATCTATCTATCTATCTATCTATCTATCTATCATCTATCTATCTATCTGTCTATCTTCATCATCAGTTATTTCCCTATTAGTTTACTTAGCTATCCTTGGAAAAGGAATATCTATAAGAAAAATTTATTAGGGGAAATAATAGTGTTAATCATAACTACATCCCAAGTTTCCATGACATCACTAGGTGTTTTTAAATAAATGTTCCCTATCTAAAAATGAGCACACACATGGTGATAGAGCACCCATTGAACACCTTATTGCTAACTGCATTATGTCCACCTTTTCTAAGTAGAGAAGTAGTAGCTAAGATTTATTGAGTGGTTCTCACCTGCCAGCCTCTGTGCAAGGCACCTCACATATATCTTGCATTTGATTTTAATGAAATTGAGCCCATTATTACTGCCTTTTTCAGTTGATGAGACTGAAGCTTAGAGAAACAACTTGGCTAAGGCCCACTACATATAGCCATGTGTCATGTTTCAAGGAATAAATGATTTGACTCTAGGTTTATCCAAATTTGTTCAATAATTAGCAACGCAGTAAATGGGTCCTCATAGTTTCTAAGAAACAGATCTTAGAGGATTTGGAGGAAAAAAATGCATGAAAAAGCCTCGTGGGCTGAAGAGTTAATGGACTTTGGAAGCAGAAGGCCTGTGTTTGCATTCTGACTCTATCACTTTTTAGCTGCATGATGTTAGGCAACTTACTGATATATTGGAAAAGGAGATTATCTTTCATTGTTTTATCTTGCCAAATGAATGTGTAACGTTACCACTTACTTTACTGAATCCCTTTAGTTCTTTATGTAGGTGATGGTCATAAGTAATTTTAGAACTAGATTTCTTATCCAGAAATACACAGAGCTAGTAATTTTTCTTTTGATCTTTCATAGCAAGCAGGTAATGTTTTTCAGGTAATATTTTTAAGCTGTCATGCTAGGATGACACTGGAAAGTACTCACCAGAAATATTTATTTGGGTTGTTGTCCACAGTTAGACATAATCCATTATTGCTATTAGGTTACAATAAAGGAAACTGAAGTTTCAAGAAAATATCTTATGAAAGATGGTTTAAATTTTGAGTAATATTTACCAGGAATAATAAAATCCTAATAACCCTATAACTAAGCTTTGGGTTACTTCTTATATGATTCACTTTAATCAAATGTGTAACCTCATGTATCATTTTTTAAGAGAATTTCCGCTCTCATTTTGTTAGTTCCTCAAAAATCTCAGAAAATGTTACTGAAAATGCTTCTTTATACTGAAAAGATGAATTTCAGACATCTTTTTATTTACCAAAACTCAAGAATAGGAACCTTACCAACAAGTAAAAATGTGTCATGTTAGCCTTTTCAACCTCAACAAACGTGTTGAAAACATGGAGCCTTGAAAGCTGCATTTTAAACACATGTCCCAGGTAACGCATACTGAAAATGGAATCCTGATGCCCTAGGTGGTAGGATTATTGTTGTTTGGAGAACGCTCCTGTAAATTTCTTTTCCAATCTTCTCCCCTCACTTCCATGCCTAAGGAGTCTAAGTCCCACTGCCCCTGCTAATTGTCCCTGGTTAATTAGAATAGAGAGTGGCCCCTGAACCAATGTGGGCCCATGAGCCACACTGGAGAATTGTCATTGAGACACAAAGGCTGGTCAGTCTCCCTGGGCACTGAGAAGCAAGAGAAGCAAGTACATTCTTTGATTAAAGATTAATTTGCTAGCCCCAGAGTTGGAAGTAAAATATGTAGATATGATAGTGGTAAGTGACAGACAAATGCCTAAGCAGCTAAGTGAGGGTCCCTGGAGAATCTCTGACCTGCCCAGGTCATTGTGCACCAGGGGCTTGCCTAAACATGCCCACAGTGAAAAATTTCATTCCTTAACACATGCAGTGAACAGTGGCTCAGACTAAGGACCTTCAGGCACATTTAAAGATGGTGTAGAGCCACCAGGAATTCGCTCCTTATGCAGGGGAACAGCCTTGACTCTTCGGCTTGTGTGTGGTGACCTGGTATTCAATTTGTGAGATGGGAACCTGTGTGCAGGACTCCTCTCTTTGCTGACAGCTTTCCTCTGGCTTCATAAATTCCACCCTCCTCCCCCTTCAGTGTGTTCACATGCCTAATTTTTCCTGGTTGTGAGACAAGAACCTGGATTTAGCTGAACTAAGGAGCAAAAAGTCCTGCATCAGATATACAGATGGATAGACAGATTCAGATATAGGCACAGGCATAGACACAGATGTAGATACAAATATGGATAAAGGTATATTTACAGAGAACACACCCACATGGTATGAGTAAAACAAAAAGTTAACGCCACTCCCGTGCCCCTAAAACAAGTGTGTAAAAAGAAGAAACTAGCTTAAGAGGAATAAAAACTGTGGCTTCTTATTTTCCAGGCAGATTACAGTATATGCCAAAAATGGATGTAATATTTAGGCTCAATTTAGATTGCCTATCTTACATTGAAGGCAGATGGGTTTCAACTACTTTAGCAGATAGTTGCTGACCTAAGGCAGAGTTACAAGGTGGCAGATGGAAGGAGAGAGGTACAAAAAATGACACTCCCAGAGTCTCTTAAAATACTTCAGGACTGGCATGATCATGTTTGGCCCATAAGCCAAGGAAAACAGAGGACAGACTCCATAAAGAAAAAAATTAAACCCATATGAGTAGAGAAATATGTCCTGCCCTTGGTTTGTACGAGATAGCATTGATTCCTCCTAATAAATCCTTACCTTTATTTTTTTCTTGATATCACATATGTAGTTTTCTGTTCTTTGTAATGAAATAATTCCTAACCAAGAAAGTCACAATAAGCAAAAAATTCAAACTATTAGAGCATGAATTTACAGGGTATCTTGGTTATTTGTTTCATTGATGCCTGAAATTCTGTATTAGGTTTTCCTTTTTTTAATACCATTTTAAATTTCATGTCATTCTTTTGGTTTCCACTCATTCAAATATAAATATCTCTGAGAACAGCAATTACTCCTGAGTCCCTACATTGTGTATGCCCTCAGAATTATATCAGAAATTTTTCTTGTGAACACTTTTGAGTAGAGAAAAAAGCATCTGGTGTGGTAGCAGGGGTGGAAGTGATGCTACTGTCTTTGCTGCCAACTTCCTCTACAGTGACTACCCTCCACTATGGACTTCCTAATGGTAGGAGTCTTCCTTCCTAAAGGGTGATTCAGTATGTTCACCTTGTTAGTATGTTCTACCTGGCAGGATCTGAGTTAGACATTTCAGATGTATTAAGGGGGAGTTTCTCACAATAACCCCATGATGTTGGCATTATTATTAATGTTCTACAAATGAAGACTTAGAGGATCAGAGTGGTAAATAAACCAGCTCAAAAAGAGCTGAATTGGAACCCAAGTCTGTCTGCCCGACTCAAAGTCTGCGTTTTTAACTATGGATGTAACACTAAGAGGAGACATGAGTAAATGGAGGACATAAGTAAAAAAGGAAAGTTTTGAATGCCTGTGACATTTCTACAATTTAACTTTTTGCCCAAGAATCTCATTAATAGAAAATTAATTATTTTTTAACATTTGTAACATAACAAGACGTACTATGTTAGCTGTGAAAATTGATCATATGGTATTTAAATATATACAACACATTTTCCTAAATTTATCATTCTATAGTTCCAGTTTCCAGTAACTCTCTGTAAATAATCACAATAAGGCCGGGCGTTGTGGCTCACACCTGTAATCCCAGCAATTTGGCAGGCCGAGGTGAGCAGATCATGAGGTCAAGAGATCGAGACCATCTTGGCCAACATGGTGAAACCCTGTCTCTACTAAAATACAAAAATTAGCTGGGCATCATGGTGCACGCCTGTAGTCCCAGCTACACAGGGAGCTGAGGAAGGAGAATTGCTTGGACCTGGGATGCAGAGGTTGCAGTGAGCCGAGATTGCGCCACTGCACTCCAGCCTGGCGCCTGGCAACAGAGTAAGACTCTGTCTCAAAAAAACAAAAAACAAACAATAAGAGGTAGTTTTGAAGAATTTTTAATCACAAGAACATTCATGCTTGCAGTGTATATAGGTAAGTACTAAAATGAATAAGATGGACATAATCAAAAACTTCTTAAGAAGGATGAAACTTCATTAAAATGTTAGATATGTGTGATTTATTACTTTTGAAATACCAACAAACTATCTATACTATAATTTTTACTGGAAGATGCTGTCTTTTTAAACAGTTTGCCTAGGGGTAGCCATCACAGGCAAAAACTACAGGTGAAAACCCTTTGCCCTTTATAGTGGGACATTTCAGTTAGGTTACAATTGGAGTATTTATCTTGCTTCTTATGTATAGGTTATATGCTATTTTAACTTACCTTTCAACATGATGATTAAAAATAAGTTTGTCCATGTTTGATAAATTCTCTGTGAAGTGGCAATCTCATGCATGAAGTCCTTTTAAGAATGAAAATAAAATTACTTTTCTCACAATTGCCTGGTAGAGAGAAAAACTTTGTTAAGTCAAGTTCTGTACTTTAAGAAATATGATTACTTTGAGTTCATTAGCACAGCCTAATACCCTATACATCATAAAATATGAGCATTTAGAGAAGTTTTCTTCCAAACTTTAATTAGAAAATGAATAAATTAATTAAAAATAATATAATTCTTTTGACAGTTGAACAATACATGCATATGATCACAAGATCTATTTGGTGAGAGAATAATCCATATTGCAATGATATGAAACAGGTAATTGCTTGTCAGCCTCTTAGCTGAGGTCAAGTGAAATGGTCAGATGGTCTGGGCTATATTATGGTCTCTTTACAGTTTTACTTGCTGCTTCTGGGATTCCAGTTTTTAATCAGGAAAGAATTATCCTTATTACTTGGGATGGTCTGGACTATATTGTGGTCTCTTCACCATTTTGCTTGCTGCTTCTGGGATTCCAGTTTTTAATTAGAAAAGAATTATTATGCTCGCTACTTCGTCAAAAAAGAATTATTATCCTCACAATTTTATTTTATTTATTTAATTATTATCCTCACTATTTTATTTATTTTACTGGAAGCTGCATTTTAAACACATGTCCCAGGTAACACGTACTGCAAATGGAATCCTGATGCCCTAGGTGGTAGGAGTATTGTTGTTTGGAGAACGCTCCTGTAAATTTCTTTTCCAGTCTTCTCCCCTCACTTCCTTGCCTAAGGAGTCTAAGTCCCTGCTAATTGTCCCTGGTTAATTAGAATAGAGAATGACCCCCTCACTATTTTATTTATTTTACTGTACCAAGTAGAATAAAATAGCAAATTGCCCATTGCTCAGTCTACTTGGTAGAATAAAATAGGAAATTGTCCATTGCTCAGTCTACATACAATGTATAGATTTTCTGACTGGATAATGTACAATAAAAGCAGACTCCTGGCGTGACTGGTTAAGCTTTTGTATTAACACAATTGACTACACAATTGCTCACTACCTTAGGAAGTTCTGGCTGACAAGTGCTGGCAAGTTGCCCACAAAAATTGGAGTCAACATCACCAATGTAGTTGTAAAGCATTTTAAAAATAAATATATACAAACATCAATTTTTGCAGACAAGATAGATTAAGACATGATTATTTGCCTTACAAATAGTGATTACTCTTCCTTGATTTATTAAATAATGCTATCGTGCAGTGTATTTTCAAAAATTGATACATCCACGAAGTCTCCTTTATCCACAACTTTCAAGGAATACAATTATTTAAAAATATTTGTGTTAATTCTTGTAAATGGGTTTGTATTAGCCATTTTATTTAGACAAGATGGAGACATAATGGTCTTCAAATAATATAGGGATGCTAAGATATGGCTCTGATCCCACCTTTGGGCATATGATGTGAGAGAATAAACAATACCTTACTATAGGCTTTTGGGTAATAAAAAGAAATAAGCCCGAACTATAACATAACACTAGGTAATGGATCTCACATGTTTACAGAGATTATTTCTGCCATAAAGTTTAAAAGAAAAAAAAAGAAATGGCGTAAGGTAATTCCATCCTTTGTAGCTCCTGGGTTGGTTTACTATAGAAGATGGCATGTTGCACTCACCATCTAGGACATTCCTCCATTCTGAAATCCAAGCCTGACAGAGCAAAGCGTGAGAGAGAGAGTAACTCGGACTTCCCTGTTGCACCTCCATAAACTCTCCTTTTGTGCTTCCACTTTGCTGACTGAGAACCCATCTTTCTCCAGTGGTCCAAACTGTCCCATACAGTGTGGTGGCATCTTAGGCTTTAGCAACATTACTACTGCCTTTCAACACACCCTTGCTCATGCAGGAGATATGAAGCTACCCAGTCCTTGGATGCTAAGTCTGACTTTGTTCCTTGTGACCCTTAGGAATGTGGCAAAAATCAGAGCTACTCTAAATTTCACATGCTTTGCTGATTCTATGTATGTGTGTGTTTACAAGTTTATGCAGTATTAGGATATATTCAAAACGCAGTACTATAAAGAGAACTCACTTAAGAAATAACATTTTGTCTAAATAATTGAAGGCCCTGTGTACATTTTTCCAGTTGTATCAACTTAGTTCCCTGCCCAGAATCACCATTTTAAATTTGGTATTTATCATTGCTTGCATTTATTTCCTGCTCTTTCCTTCTATGTGGGCTAGCAATACTCTTAACATGTTTTTCGTAGTATGATTATTTTACAATAAAATAAATAAAAGAAGTAAACTTCTGTTTAAAATGAAAAAGGTATTTTTATAGAGAATAACATCAGTGTAGCTTTACTAATAGTGACAAGAACAAAACCCCAAATGGGGTTATTTTGAAGATCTTATTATTTTATACTAAACACACTTCCCCTCATACCATGCCACTTATTCTCTTGATCAAATTTGCAATTTTAGCACCTGTTGAATCCTGAAAATCTGACAAAGATTAAGAAGAAAAGATGCAAAAAATCTCATTTTTGAAATGAACTACACTACATAAAAGTGGAAAATGGAATTATCTAGAATGAGAGGAACTCAAACATAGAAAGATATAAGCAACTTTAAATGTAAAAACCTAAAGCGACTTAGTGAAATACAGGAACAGAAAGCATGGAATTCTAGCTAAAATTCAGTTGGTTTAAGTTATACCTACACTGACTATTAAGATATGTAAATTATAACATAGATTATTAGGACTCTGTTTATCTTAGTAGCACCCTTCCAAATGGTTTTAAAAATTGGGAAATATAACAAAGAAATCAAATTCAAAATAAGTATTTGTTAGTACTCTTCTGGACTAAGAAGGGCAATTTCTTTCCAACCTTCATTTACCTTTTCTCATGAAATATTCAAAGAATAGATTAAGAGTTATTGAAATCATTTATCATTTTTCCCTGTCAGAAAACTGATGTCATTTTAGAAGTGTTGTGTATTTCTACCCATTGGAGCTTGAAAATAATAATTTCTAAACTTCTTCCTTTTAACAAATCACTCCATGTATAGTTAAAGTGTGTATATACTTTGTTTTAAAATATTTTTTTCTACAAAATTTCAAAACAAGACAAATTAACTATCTGTATTTCAAAAGAACTCACTTAAAATGGAAAGGTTTCCTAAAATATTAAATATGTGTTGAGGCCAGGACTTTTGAGATCAGTTTCAGCAACCTAGTAAAGCTCTGTCTCTAAAAAAAAGTTAAAAATTATTAAGGCATTGTCACATGCCCCTGCAGACCCATCTACTCAGGAGGCTGAGGCAGGAAGATTTCTTAAACCCAGAAGTTGGAGGCTGCAGTGAGCTATGATCATGCCACTGTACTCCAGCTTGGACACAATAGAGATCCTGTGTCTAAAAAAATAAATAAATAAAACAAATACATGTATGTGTCTTTATATCAGTTTTATAAAAATACAGGTATGTTCTTAAAACTGAATTTCAGAAACAACCTTTTTTTATTTTTCCTCTCTTCTTGTGGTAATTGGTCTGTACATATTTAAAAATGCATGCCTTATTCAAGGTACTGTCCAAAGCCTGGAAATCCTCCAAAGTTCTATTGTTGTATTTGTACCTAGTATTTTTTTCTAGTCACATTTGAAAAAGTTCACAATCCTCTAAAATTATTGCTCAGGGTCAAGAGAATAGACCTGCTTAGTGCTCAAGTAAGAAATGATACTGGCCATACTGTGCCTCCAGAAGGGAAAACCATAGGCCTTGCTCTGATATTTGAAATAATGGATTTCAGCAACAATGTAGGTCTTGTCAGCCACTATTTATTCACAAAATCAAATTATTTCTAGTTCTTCTTTTAGACATGAAGAGGAGACCAGCAGGTATGATTCATTCTAGAATGATCTCTTCTGGAAAACTTGCTCAGATAAAATCTAGAGATGAAGTTCTGGCCTTTTCAAAAACAGCTGGTTCATTGGCATGGCATGAGGGGATACATAATAATATTTAAGAATGAATTAAACTTAATTTAGCAGTTATTGGGGAAACTAATTTAAGCAAACAGTTGACCTTCAGAATTTGAATTCTCTGAAATTTGTCCTTCAAATTTTAATCTTTCACAGATATTTAGAAAGATATATTCAATAGGAAATAAGAATGCCATTAGATAATATGAGACCGAAAAACAGTATGGGTAAAAGGAAAGTTATACATTCCAGATGATTTTCCTGGGAGTTCCAAGTTCTAAAGTTAGCATACTAGTACAGTGGGGGAGAATAGTCATGTTTTTGTACAATAAATCAATTGCATAGAATTTTAATCTCAGAGAGTTGGGAGATATTAATTTTGCTACTCAGAGGGTCATAGTAAGTTAAGAATTGGCCTGACCACATGGGAAGCAACATCTAGTCAAATCTTTTAGCATGAAATAAAATCCAAGTCATGATTTTCAGTTTTAAAAAATGTCTAAATTGTTCAAATAATGGTGTCAAAAGTATTACGGTAGAAAAGTGATGGAATTTTGCATAAATTTTTCCAAGTAATTGCTTTACTTAAAAGAATGCCATTAGTTTTTTTAAAATCAGAGTAATACATGTACTTTATTTTAAAAACAAGCCAATGTAGTTGTTATCTCTTGCTTTGCATTGGGAAAGTTAAAAATTTAGCTTACTCAACCTATGTGCCTTTTCTTACCTCACCAAAAAATCAGATGCACTTACCTTAACCTGAAACCAAATTGTTGTTACAATGGAAATACTAGTCACAGATGTTATTTATGATTACACTTCTTTTTGTATAACTTGCTTTCCCTGGAGTTAAGCATTACCTCTTTCTTTTCTTACTTTTTAATGTACCAATTGCTAATTCATCCCTAAACTTTCTGTGAAAAGTGTCCTAGGTATTCCAACATATTAGTTATTCCATCTGGAGCCCTCCAACCTCCTCTCCAGTCTGGACTGGTTTCTATCAGCCTATAGGCCGCTGTTGTTCTGGAACTTTTCTTCATCAGTATCCTGGGAATTTTATTTCTGTTTCTCAACGCTTGTTTCCTGGATCTTC